ACAGCCATACTTTCCTGGCTCCCAAAGCTATTCTAATCAGATTATTTTGAAAGTGGAAGACTTAAAAAAAGACCAACTCTTCTAATAATCCAGTTCCGAATGTGGTATGTACATTAATACACTAGAGTACTGTAGTACTGTATAATAGTACTCTAGTATAATAGTATACTAGAGTACTGCAGTGACTCAGGTACTGACTCAGATTGAGGAAACTCACATTCAAATTTCCCATTTCCCTATGGTGATCTTTTTATGGTCTTTGACTAGTAACACTCAGCCAGCTCCACGTAAGGTAATTAAGGGTAATTAGGAGAAACCTCTATGTAAACTTTGAACCTTTCGCAAAAATAAATGCAATGAACCAATACACTTCATGACACTTTATATAATATCTGTAACTGGCCATAGGCAAAAAAAAATCCATTTGACAAGCACAGTTATAACACTATAGGTGGGCTCCATATACTAAATACCAATTGAAATATTTGACTGGACAGTAAGATGCTGTTGGGCTCAAAATCCCAGCAGCCCCAGCCTGGAGCTCATAGGAGTCTCTGCAAGGTCTAAAGAACCTTAAGCAATAAATCAAGAAGCACAAAGCTGTCACCCGTGACTTGAAATCTTTTTTATGGATTATATTATTATTAAATTTGTTATGGCCCCCCATTCTGGGCTGCTTACATCAGATTATACAATTAAAAACACCCCCCCTTTTACAACCCTGTAATCCCTTTATTCGGGGAAGAGTGGCAGTGACTGGATGGAACTGAGCGTTTACTGGCTGAATGCCCTTCCTGACACCATGCAGAGTTCACAGCAAATTTTTTTCTTTGCGCCCCAGGAGAGAAAGATCTGCCACTACCTAGGATTGAACTCTCAACCCTTCTGAGTGGGAAGCGAGCTTCTTCACACTAGGCCACCATATAGCTCAAATCAAACTAGGCAATTAAAACAGCTAAAAGCCGTGGTTCTCAATCTTTTCTTCACGGCGGATCCCCTAAAAAGCAACCCTAAAAATAACAACAGCACAAAGACAGGATTCCACAAGGACATTTATCCCAGATAAGTGGCAGAGACAGGTCTTAAGGGCCTTCTGAAACGAAGACAATGGATGCTGTTCCAAAAGGTGGGAATAACAACACAGAAGTTGTGCTTCCTTAGTCCCACAACATAGCAGTAATTGAGGGGAATTGACATGTCTACCTGGATGTACTGAGTAGGCAGAAACAGAGATGTGTGATCCTCCCCATAACAGGCCCTATGTTATGAATATAACTGTTGGTCAGAAGTAAAGAAAGAAATAGTTGGGGAGGAAGTATTACAATTTGGGTATAAATTTTCAACTAAGATCAAAGAAAACACAGATAGGACAGGAAATACTACTTTAAATGAAGAGTGCAAACAAGAATCAACCTACAGCAATCAGAAAAGGAAGTTTAGTTCATGCCATTACAAACCTCAAGAGATAGAACAATGCTGTTTTGGTAAAGTGGTATTGCTTGCACTGTAATGCATAGCTCCTGAAGACACGTCATTGCACAAAAACAAGGAACAGGATTGGGCCATTAACAATATGCCATTACCGCATTCCTAATACAGGTTCACATGGTTTTCAAACTGTTATTTTTGACATTCAAACTATCAGGTCAAATTGAATCAGAATTATGGATACTGGCTGAAACATGTTTAACACAGCACATGTCATACCTTTGAAAGGTAATATAAATTAATTTGTACTGAGATTAGGAAATTATTTGGTAAAATAATATGGCTGTTAGTTCAGGACTGCTAATCTAAGATGCCCTAGAACTCAATTTACCATAGGTCATGTATGTATGTATGTATGTATGTATGTATGTATGTATGTATGTACCGTTTCTCCAAAAATAAGACATCCCTTGATAATAAGCCCAATCGGGCTTTTGAGTGCATCCGCTAAAATAAGCCCCCCTGAAAATAAGCCTTCCCTGAAAATATTTAAACACATGCGCAGCCGGTTCCCACCATTTCCTCTGGTTTCCTCCACATGCCCCAAAATAATAAGACCTCCCAGAAAATAAGGCCAAGTTCTTATTTCGGGGTTCAAAAAAATATAAGACAGGGTCTTATTTTCAGGGAAACATGGTATGTATGTATGTATGTTTCAACCAACTCTGGGCAGGCTGGTTTATTTATACCATTTATTTATTATTTCACAAAGTTTCAGTTTCAGTTTATTTAAATTTATATACCACCCTACTCCCAAAGGACTCAAGGCGGTGAACAGCCATAAATAAAACAAATATAATATAAAATTTAAAAACAAGTTAAAAGACATATTAAATAGATTTGGCCCACTAATTAAAACACCCCTATTTTTAAGAACAGATCCGAATTAAAATTAAATAGTTAAAAAGGGTTAGGCCAGCCCTGCTTGATGGAATAAAAAGGTCTTGAGGGCACAGCGGAAAGTGCGCAAAGTGCGCAAATCCGGGATCCTCCGTATCTCTGGGGGGAGCTTGTTCTAAAGGGCAGGTGCCCCCACAGAGAAGGCTCTCCCCCTGGGGATACTAATAGTCATAGTATCCTAAGTACTCAAAATCAACATAATTCTTTGTAATAAACTAAAAATGTGGTATAGATTGAAAGTTAATTTACCGGAAGTTAAAGTATGGCTATAAATAAACTCAGAAAAGTTGTTGGAGTGGAATAACCATGAAAAGTCCAATTCACAGCTGGTGGTGTTATAGTAAAATGTTTAGTGTTCAGAAGGCAGCGATGTCCATTAAATCCAAATTTACAAATTTTGCCTCAATTTATGTCTTTGTGTAATTATGTCATAGTCATAAGTACATCGTTTGCAACAAAACCATTTATGGAATAAACCCTATAATTAATAGACACCCCCACTCAATTTAACAGGCTCCCAGTCTGTTAAATGGAAGTAAGTCTCTGAAAGGAAAATATCTCCACTGTATTTCACACTTGCTAAACAGAGGAATATTGAACCTAGAGCTTACTCTATTTCTTACAATTAATTATCATGCACAATTTGCTCCTTTATGTAGCCAGCTAATGTTTACCTACTGTACCATACTTGCAGAGATACCCAAAGTTGTGGTCCTGTATTTATAGAGAAGCTCAATAAGCAAAATGTGCTGTGAAATTTTGCAAAAGACCACACAGCAATACATGGATTTTTTTTTTATCAGAGACCTTAAGAATAGACTTGCCCTGGGGGAGAGAAAAAAAGGTTTATTCTTATTTTAAAAGGTCAGACACAGAAAAGAAACAAGGAAGAGGAAGAAAAACCTGTGCTTTACAGTGGAGAAATAAGTACTTTGAAAAGCCTGAACAGCTAGCCTAGACCGTCACCATGATCACCTTACAGTGAAGCTAGACTGGACTGTACACAAATGCTACCATTCTGGTTTTGTGTTAAACAGACCCAACCCTACTGGATAAAGGTTTTAGTTTCATTGATCTTGAGGCACAACTGGGCATGCTGCCAACACTGGTTTTGTTTTGTTTTTTAAAAAAATCCCTTCTGTAACGGAAGAAGAAAACCAGCTTTGTTGAGCTGCTTCAACAGTCCCAGTTTTAAACACACGTCACATCTGTGCAAAATGTTCATTTCTGGAAATCAATCAGCTTTTCAGATGGGTGGGCATGTCGTGCAATAGGAACAGAATAAGGACATCTTTAAAGAAAACCTCAGGCTTGAGAAAACTATATGATTTAAGACTCTTTGAAAAGTGCCTGTTTCAACTCAAGCATGAAACTGAAATGGAAGAGGTTTTTTTTATCCCGCCATAAACTCTGCAACAGGAAGAGATGTGGTCAAAGTCAGGCTTAATGGAGCTAAAAAAAAAAAAAAAGACTTATGCACAAATTAAAATTTCCCCATCTTATCCATTACCATTTTAGGTAAATTTCTAATCTAGGCTTGATAAATAATGTAACTCTTAAAATGGAAGGGTTTAAGACACTTCTTACACAGCTATGAAATATACTTGTCAAATATAATAAGGGAAGCGGGCATGGCATATGAAAATCCTTATGATCCCTTAAGGACAGCCCCCATCTAGGTCATGTGACCAGGAAGAAGGAAGTAGAGAGGCTATTCTCAGCAGGCACTCTTCTGCCTCAACGGTAACGATGCGCTGCAGCTCTCAGCTGGATCCAGCCCATTTTTGAACTTGATCTTTATTTTGCTGTTTTCTCTCCTACTCCAAATTTTGTCCTTTTATGCTAAATTTTCAGAGTCATCCTGGGGACAGACAGGAGTCCTAATCTCCTTTATGTACTCGATTTCTAACATTTATGGGTTGGGGAAAGTAAATGTCATTGGGGTCTTCCATCTAAAATATTAAAAAATTATTTTCAAAAGCCATATGACTCCACTCCCAACTTCTAAATTATACCTTAGTTTTATGACCATCAGGCATACTATTACCCACACCAGTTTTTCTTACAACTGAACACCTCCAAAAGTTTCAGTTTCTATTTTCTATAAATCCAATTAGCAAATCAGGAATAACGGGAGCAGCTGTTCAAAGTTTCTGGAGGGCGGTTTGGAATAAAACTGTTCAAGGTTAAGTGTCAACTGTTCTCCAAGCTCTCAGCTGGAAACTTTTCTCTGCCGATTTTCTAAAAATTTCTAACTGGAGGTATCAAGATTTTCATAAGAGACAATGTGTATGTCAGAATGTGCTCTTATGGTTATGGAACAAGAACTCCCTTTTGCTTAATTATTGGCACAATATAACAGATTATCTTTTCTGTGCTGTTCTTTTTTGAAATTTGCTAAATATATAACATAAAACAAAAAAGTCTTCCAAAACCAAACATAGGCTAGGAATGATTCTTTATAAAATTTTCCAAAGGGAAAAAACACTACACTACACTATCTAGCATGGAAACAGGGTATTTGTTCAGTCTCAGTGATTTCCAATACAGATATATTTTATAAAATATAGCCATTTGCTATAAAAGCCATTTGCTCTTTTGGGTTAACTTACATTTGCAGCATTATTTTATTCAGGAAGACTCCATCTGCTAGATTCATATACACTGCAAGTTTGTCTTCATTATCACTCTCTAGTAGTCCAAATGTTTTTACCTGCCAGAAAACATAAAATAAAACATTTTAGAAAATGCTTTCAAAAGATGAAACATTCTAATTTTGTTTTGGAAACTGCATGTTTATATTCATTTGAATTATAATTTGAGGGTTATAAACTAATCATGAAAATGGTTATCATACTCCTTTTGGTGGCAAAAAAAATCGTTCTATTGGGCTGGAAGGGATTCATTCTCCAGCTATTAACAGTGATCTGAAGAATCCACATCTCCTTCTGTATTAGAACAGGAATCCCATTTAGTGGAAATGTGTACTCTTCTTGCTATTTTTCCCATGATATCTGCAGCCATACTAGTAGTGATAAGGTGAAGGTACACAAAAAGCTCCTTTTACAGAAAAAGAAATGTCCATGATTATCTCTGCTATTTTTTCCCCCTTCAGTTCAATTATGTCTGATTCCCAGAGATTGTCTGGACATATCCCTACAGTTTTCTTAGTATGGTTTTTCAGAAGTGGTTTGCCATTCCTAAGGCTGAGAGAAAGTGACTGCTCCAAGGTCACCCAAGTGGCTTCACAGGTAGAACTAGAATTCAGTGTCCCAATGTCTAGCCTGATGCCAGTTTCTCTATCTCTGCTATAAATCCATTCAAAATTCATCTGAACCAGATCTAGTTTTTTTCCAAGATCTTTGTTAAATTCATTTAAATTCTCCACACTGACCAAGGCAACTGACTGCTTCTTAAAAAGAATCTGTTTATCATGAAATTTTTGTTAGCCACTTATAAGGAGAACAATTCTGCTAAAATATAAACATGTTTGGCTTCTTCCAATGTAACCTTGTAACACTTATCTTACTCCTGCTACATTATTAAGAGTTTCCATATCGGATTCTTTAGAGGCCTGATCTATACATGCCACAACATGGAACAAGAAGTCAAAGTTCAGGTAAATTACTGAATTTTGGAGTAAGAATTTCCTGCAAACAAGAACTAACCACCAGGAGAAATGTACTAGCTAGTTCATTCAGTATTGTATACATTTTTATTAGGACTATTTAAGGGAATATCACTACTCTGTTATTATTTCTGCGCCATGTAATAAAATCAGGTTCAATCTGTAATATAGAGTGTTTGACTACAAAAAGCAGAGCAAAAATATTTGGTCATGTCAGATTGGTTAGCTTTTCCTTTCTTCCCAAATGCTGGTTTGGTAAAGACACTTTTTAGTTTTGCTGAAATCAAAGGAAGAGATAATAAATGGATAAGCTTGGCATCAGAGGTGACACATATACTACTGGTTTTATCCTCCCCTGCAAATGTTCAAGTTTTGTATAAACACCTGAAAATTAAATGCCTATCCACAAATCACCATCCTTCCATCTGCTCCGATGATTTCAATAATTTATTTTCTAAAATCTATGGTACTCTTAAAATGCATTGGTTCCTAGTACCAATCTCAGACACATTTCCTAAGTGGGCCCACTTCCTTCCAACATAAAGGAAACTGATTAATCAAGTAAGATTCTATCCCTAGACCAAAAAACAAATTGGGATATATGTCTAAATGCAATGCAATGCAGCAATACACCTGTTCAAGTAAAACTTCTACAAAGTGGCTAGCACACACCATATAAAAATCATTTGTACAACAATGAGGCATGCATGCACACCCACGATTCTAATGTAAAGGAGAGTCTACAGTACTGGAGGCAGCATAAAGGAAGTTAGAATCAAATACAGTCTTACAAAAAAGTGTTCAAGTGCCATGTACATAATGACTAACTCAAAGTCGTTAATGATTGACACAAGATTTGTACATTTATGAAAATATTTTTTTCCTTACAAGGTTTGATATAATCATGTATTTACAACGCAGAAGCCCATCTAGTTAAAAAAAAGGGGGGGGAAGCTCCCCCTTTTAATCCCGTGCCTGACACCTTGCTGCCATATCGACAACAAAACAGAAACTACTTTCTTTCAGAACCAAAAGGCGGAACTTCCAACAATACTCCGAGTTTTTTGTTTTTTTGTTTTTGCTCTCTGCCCTCTGTCTGGCTTTTGATCCGGTTAGTCCAACATCGCCAATAAGTTATTGCCTTGGCAATCACTCACGGTCCGCAGAAACTAACCTTTCTCATTGATTTTCGCTGAAATAACCGTTTCCCCACCACGTCCAACTAACTTGCTCCCACTCGGAAGGCCAGAGAAAAGTCTCAGCGACCAAAAAGCCCGACTTTTGACGCTCGCCGGTCCCAATTCACTGCCCTCCCCATCCACGCTGGCCAGACAGCGCGCTTTCCCAGGTGGCCGGGCCCGGTGCGCCACGAGGGAAGCCGCTTTCCACCCATCCCAAACTTTTTTCCCTCTCCCCTCTTCCCCCACCCCACCAATCCGCCCTTCGCTGCCCAGCAAACGGTTCTGCCACGCCAGGCCCGCTTTGCAAACTCACCCAGGTCACCAAAGGGCTCTGCAGGAAGAGTTCCAGGAGCTCGGAAACGGTCACATCCATCTTGCCTCCAGAGGAAAAACTCCGCGTTTGCTTTGGATCCGAAAGCAGGAGGCGGCCGGGGAAGGGCTCAGCCTGGGAACAAAGGCGCGGAGCCCATGGCCCAGAAAGGAGTCGCCTTGCTTAGGGGAACAATGCGAGGTTCATCTCCTTTCCCCTCCCCCTAGGCGGGAGTGGGGAGGGACGCGCGAGCAGCTCCCTCCCCTCCTTCCCCACTTTCTCTGAGGTGGGGGGGGGAGAAAAAAGCCGCCGCCCGTTCACAACCTGCTGAGGGGCAAGGCAAGTAGCCGGCTAGAGGATTGGAGCAACGGGACGGAACTGCTTGCAAACAGCTTTTGTGGCTTCTAATCGTCGCCGGTATTTTATTATTTTTTTTTATTCCCCCCGGCGGCGGCTACTGTTGTTGCCGTCGCCCAAGAGTTTCTACTTCGTTGAGAAGAATAACAGCGAGCTTTTTTAAACCGGCAGCTTTGGCAAGTTTCGTCCCGTTTCTCTCACGGAAGGGCGAAAGCAAGAAGCGAAGGCGCGTCACGCTTCGCGTTCGCGCGCTCTAAGCCCGCAATCTTTTTACAGGGCGACGGGAGCGCTGGAGCTACTACCTGTAGGAAGGACGCGCGCTTTTTTTTCTCTCTTAGGTTGGAAACGGAGAGAGGGGGCGGGCGGGGGACAAGCGGGAGGAGTCGGAGGGAGAAAGAGGGGTTTTTTTTTTAAAGAAAAACATGATCGACGTTACGGGTTGCAAATGACAATCTGAGGAAAAGGTTTGAAGTGACCAATAGAAGTGGGCTTGCAGGCGAATTGGGCTGGAAAGGTGTTCGCTGGGCAGCGTTGGTGAAGCCCTTGGAGGCGGGGATGGGGGGGGCTCGCCGAGGGGGAGGGAAAGAGAAACAAAGTGTGTACAGGAAATGGGGGGGGGTCTCGCATCGAGAAGACTCTTTACGCTTCTTTCGCGGGCGACGCGATCCTGACTTGCGAAGTTATGGCAAGTCCGGATCGAACCAGCCATTTTTCCAGCAGATAAATCCAGCTACCGGCTTTTTTTTTTTTTTCTGCCTCAGGAGCAGAAGAGAGAGCGTGGGTGCCACGGAGATTTGGGTGGGAGGCGGGGGGAGTGCGGCGTCCGTGGCTGGCACCTCTGACGGCTGGCCTCGCTGTGGGAAGCCGAGGAGTCCTCCTCCTTGGCCGGAGAGGAAAGGGAAAGGGACCGAGCCCCATTGCGCGTGAAGGAACGGGTGGCGAGCCAGAGAAAGGCTTAAATTTGGCAGCAGCTGGAGGGATCGCCCAGCCTCGTTTTCAATACAAAACCCACCAATGGCAGACGTAAACAACAGCCAAACACCCATGCGCTCCAGGATGTTTTTCTTCTGTGCCAAATAACGGCCTTTGCTAACAGCGCTGCAACTTTTTAGGCTTCCCTATTGGGTTTAAATATGACCTGATGCCAAAAAATGTCCAAACCACAAAAAGGTAAAAAGTAGACAGGTGACCCTTTAGAACAGTGTTTCTCAACCTTGGAAGCTTGAAGATGGGTGGACTTCAACTCCCAGAAGTTGGGGAGTTGAAGTCCACCCATCTTCAAGCTTCCAAGGTTGAGAAACACTGCTTTAGAATTAGATAGACAGACAGTCCTGGGGATAAATTTAGGGAGGGTGATGGAGAATGCAGATTACAGCTGTTGCTGAAACTGCAGCTCTTAATGGTGGGAACCATAAAGACAACATCCTATTGTCTTGGCTTTTGCTGTGTGCAAGGAAGCTCTTTCCTAGTCAAACTCTTCAGAAATAGTTTTTAATAATAAAATATATAAAAGGGCCTTAATAACTTGCTTTCTTCATGCCTTATTACCTTATCTTCTATAGGAGTGATAGATTCACATTTAGTTAAGACCGGCAGCTATTGGAAGGAATGGAGACAAATACCCAATACACAAAAAAGGATTAATTGTGGTTATGTTCACACAACACACTCCCTTGTGATTTATGGTAGTAATACAAATTTATGTTTGATGTCTGCTGCCCACAGCCAGTTGTTGAGATGGGCGGTTGTAGAAATCAAATTTCTGGATTTGTCTAATATGCAGAATCACAAAATTGCTTCAGGCAACAAATATAAATTAGCTTGTATGTATAATACTGTGGAAACTCAGTCTACCAAAAAACGTTAGGTTTTAATAGATTTAGCGGAAGCAAAATAACTAGATTATCTCTTTTAGAACTCAAAGGGACAGTCCTTTTAACTCAATTACATTGTGGGTTTCATATCATACCATAGATCAGTGTTTCTCAATTTTTGTCACTTGAAGATGTGTGGACTTCAACTCCCAGAATTTCCTAGCTAGCATGGGAATTCTGGGAGTTTAAAGTCCACACATCTTCAAGTGGCAAAAATTGAGCAATACTGCTGTAGATGCTTTTCCTTAATCCTTGTAAGGTGACAACTACAATAAAGTGCTCTACTAAAGCTTGATAACACTAGTGTTGTAGTTTAGAGCATCTGTCATATTTCCCCACATCTACATAGTAGATCACAAGGATTGCATTTGCTCAAACACAGGATAGTTAACACTGGTTTGCTAAATTAAACAACCGAACTATAAACAGCTCACTTACTTTTAACTTAATATGTTGTATGAACTCATTCTTTTATTAGTCTGGTGCTGCTGAGGAGGACACTGATGCTTAAAATAGAAAGCTTGTCTAGAGCTTCAGCTCCAATTCATCATTCCAGTCAGTGGAGTTAATGGACATATTGTTTGAGTTAAATAAAAGTTGTAATCTTCACACAACTGGAGAGTGTGAGGATGGGTTAACCATGTATGGTCACCCAGGTATTTCAGTAGGAAGAAAGTCCTTCCCAATTTTCTCTTGACTGAGATGTTTAACCTCTGGAAGCATAACAAGTTGGCTTTTACAGGGAAGTTCAATTAGTGTTTGATTTATTGGGTGTTGGAATACAGTTTAAAAGTTCCTTATTTTATCCTTCTTTCTGACTTCTCCCTTAAAATTAGCTGATAAGGACCGTAGGAAGTTAACACTCACCCCTCTCCTAGAAGAATAAATACTTTAGGAAATATTTGTCCAACAGGACAGAGATGTACTAACTGCACTTTTGAAAACTTAAAAAGTTTCTCAACCTTGCCAAGTTCAAGATAGGTAGGCTTCAACTCCCAGTATTCCTGTAAATAAATGCTTTTACCACTACTATAAATCACAATCCACCCATTGGATTTGTTACAAATGATTTCAAAAGATACTTTGATTTAATACTAATATAGCATAAATTAAAAGTTTATTCATCTCAAATATTTTAACTACTGTGATTTCTAGCCAGAGGAAATATCCTCTGCCTCTAGAGGAGAACTTAAAAAATAAACAAGATAGGTGTCATGAGTAGCATAATCAAAGCTCTGCCCCTCCTCCCAACACCTTATATCCTGCATGCTGGGGAATCCTGGGATTTGAAGTCCACACTTCTTCAAGTTGCCAAGGTTGAGAAATATAGTTTGACTGGGAAAAAAAAGATTTTAAAAGATGGACTTAAGGCATTTGGGGGAAGCTATGTACTGAACAGGTGGGTAATTTGTTATTGGAAGGTGAAAACAGTGTCTTGTCTTAATAAATACATGCCAATCAAATAGGAAATCACTTCCTATTTATCATATACTGTATAGTCCTGACCCTGAACAGATTTTCCCAAATCAGTAGTGTTGGAAATTTGAATCTGCATTATTTTCCATTGCTAATAAGTACTATGAGACAGCCAGACGTCTAACATTTCAGAGGCATTGTTGTGTATGGATATCGGGAAATAGTTGCAGCTTTGGAAATTGTAGTCTAATAATTGACAATCAGGAAATGCCTGTGTATACAGTTGGGCTGTGATGAGCTATTATCAGCTAATTGTCTGTCTTATTTTCAAGGTTATGCTTAGCTTTGATTGGTGGAACTGACATTTTTTTATAAAGGAACGCCTTCCAAGGCATAGTTTTATAAATTATTGTTTTAGAGCATGGAAAAGCAGGAAAGGGGTCTGTTGCTTTTACCACATTACTGTTCAGCATTGTGTGATGCATAAATGAAGCAGAAACTTTAATGACATGTTTGGCAGGCACTGTATTAGGTTTCAGTGTAGATAGGAGAGCTGTCCTTCAAGCATACGGTATCAATTTTTCTTTCTTCCATTTCTCTTTTCCTTTAAACAACTGATGCTGTTTCTTTGATGACATTATTTGACACCTGTCCATGTCTCAGGAAAAAGTTGTTAAATAAAAATGTGGATAATTTTCAGATATTTTTCTGCAAATTAATAATAATCTCTATGAATTTCATTCAGTCTTTGTGTTCCTGGTAGAAAGAACATCAGGAGGGAAGTTACTGGAAATTTGAAGAAGAGTGAAAAATTATACGAAATAAACATTTGGGCTTTGTGGGGATATACCAAGTGTTTTGATTTCATACATAGTACCTACCAACTTTGATACAAATATAATTCTGGTGTCTTAAAAACTAATACATCATGAAACTGAAGCTTTAAACATGGTGATTTAGCTTACAAAAGGTAAAACATGGTGCATTTTACAGTAACAAAGACCTTACAGTAGTATATTTGCACCATCTAGTGGTTATTATGTCAGAAAAAAATATCCTAATGACCATAGCAAATGGGGAATTTCAAACAAAACACACATAATACAAACATGATGCAACCCACCCTCCCAGATTGAAAATAGGCATTGCTTGCAGCTGGATAAACCGTTTCAGCAAGTATTTGCTTATTCTGTTCTGAATGGTTACTTTGTTACATTAAATGTTTGCTTTTAACAAACACTTTTAACTGTTGCACTTTCATCACTACCTTTGCTGGCTTGTGTTTTTGTTATTTGTCATGCTATTAGCCCTCTTGTACATCATTCATATATATATGAATTATATATATAATTATATATATATATATATAATGTGTGTATGTGTGTGTGTGTCTTTTTTCCTTTTTCATAGGCTTTTATGTGCATATTCTTTCTAGCCAGGTTTTACCTACGTAAACTAAATCAGGGCTGTAGAACAACTTAGTTTACGTAGGTAAAACCTGGCTAGAAAGAAAGAATATGAATATATATATATATATATACTCTCATGTATACAGAATAAAATCATTACTTAAAAGATCTGTGAATGTATCGTTTTATTTTGATGTACCATTAAGCCATTGTTCAGAACCAACTGAGAACACAATTGTACATATAAAAGAAATTCAGGTAAATGGCTAACACTAGTTCAACTTAAAACTGGGGGATCAAGCAGCTACAAAGACTAGCAGGTATATTTTATTAAACCTTAAGAAAAATTGACACACCAATAAAGGAGAATATTTGTAGCTCAGGATTGAAATGAGGGGTCTTTGATGCTCTCTGAGGTTGGTTGTTTTCTTGCAGATGTTTCATTACTTAGGTAATGAAATGCTAGCACTGATGCTGTTACCTAGTTTAGGTAACGAAATGTGTACAAGAAACTAACCAAGCTCAGAGTGCAAGGACCCCTCAAATCAGCAATTA